CGAAGGGAGGGGCCAGCCACGCAGATTTGCTTGATGGCAACTTGCGTCTGTGATTGTGGATTTATGACCATAGGGGCGAGCACTCCATAGATAATTTAGGGAGCTGCTTCATAACGGACAATGAGTACGTGCGAAGACCTGGTAGCAATATAGTGGCCATCAGTAATTAGCGGCAGGGGAAATGATCGACATTCTGTCAAAGGCATCTGGGAAGATCGCGCAGGCACACCGAGAAACCCTCGCCAACAATGCGTTTGCGGCTAGTGCTTGAAAGGCTAAGCCTATAACACTCTGTCTCCGTAAAGAGGTTGGTTGGTAGTCTCAACTAGCTTCGTACCTCGTCTGCCCATCCTCCCATCAAGACACTTCGGATAGTTGTCGATGATGACGGTGGGTTAAGACAATTTGTTGTGGTCCGCTTGAGCCGAAGTCTACCTTAGTGTGCACGGATGCAATCACCGTGCGTCCGGGAGATGTGCGTCTAAATGTGCGGAGTGCAAGAATGTCTAGGACAAGCAGACACCTTGAATTGTTTACTACGTATGCGTCTCCAAAGGGGTTCAGACTTCAGAGAGGCCCGGCCTGAACCTATCCGTCGGGTGAGATTGACTGCCCAACGTGCTGGCCTATTTTGCAGTACCACCGCAAGTCGACTCTATGTTCCGTGTAACGCAGCCAAGCAGCTTTCCATTGACCATTGACACGGCATGCGGATGTCGACATGCACGATAAAGTAATGTAGGGCTGATCGAAAGGTGGCGTGGAGGTAGGCATGGTATGACTATACTCTGATCCTGCGCGTGGCATGAAACTCCGGCGTCAGAGTAGTTGGTTGTCATATATTCTGCCGATTCGGACTTTGAGCATTGGTTTCGAGGTCTCGATATGCCAAACTTCGTCGCCTGGTGCTCGAAAAACTGTAAACAGGGTCAACCCAGGTCTATCAAGACAGGCCTAGCGCATTTTCTCCGCTCGGCATAGGGAGAGAGATTGGATGATACCATCCATTTCTGCCACTCCAAAATGACGAATAAATCGTCCGTAATCGGCCTCCATGTTTAGCGCACCGTTGCGCGTGGGGGCAATGAGTGAACGGGCGCCACGGCATGGAAGGCTTCTCGCCATTTCCGACCTGCGTCTGACAGCTGCGGTGAAGACCGACATCAGGCCACGGCACCGCAGCAACCTGATACGCTGCACCGGTACCAGATGACGCGTTTTGACTTCTCTTCAGTGTATCGCGTTGCACTCTTGCGCGGCACTCAGCCAATGCGACGAGCCAACGCACCTTGATGCAGTTGAAAAGTGCCGAGCCATGGCGCTGTGACAGGACACTTTAGTGGCATGCTGGCGATCAATTTGACCTTGCCGATCGCTGTTTGTATTAAGCACAGACTGCGAGTCAGGGGTGTCGAAATTGGCTCTCTGCAGTTCGTTCTACGGAATTCAGTCTGTACCTTCGTGAGTGGCAGAGGGACAGATATGACACTGGAATTGGACTTCTAACCTTCACTAGTCAATCCTAATGTGAACAGGTGCAAATGGGTCGTTGACGCCGCCGGAGGTTCCAGTTCAGAGGGACGACAAGCGAGGATGTGCCGAAGACGCAGGCCCCGCGCCGACGGAGGGCGGAACAACAGGCTTGGGAATGACAAGCAGCTTTGAGTTCCGCGGCACCCTCTCTCCGGTTGCCTTTGGCTAGCGCCCCTCGTGCGGCCAGGTTGTGCATGTGGTACTGTCAGTTCTGTGCCTGGCTAGGCTGATGAGGTGTATCATGTTGATGAAATTCCAACGTTGAAAGTGAAAACCTTGTTTTGTTGATCTCTCTTTCGCACGGCTCTTGATTGTCAGCTATAGCCTTTATTATAACTCAAATTGGCGTTGAGTGAAAAGTGAGGTGAGGTCCGAAGAAGCCGATAGATTTTCTAGGTTTGAAGTTATCGACAGCGGGTGGAGCTTGACGAATGACAGATTCAGCGCGGGCGTTTTCCCATATCCCGGCACTGGGCTTCCATCCTGTGGAGAGGCAACGAGCAGTCAACGCACTGTCGTTATCGATGCTGGCAGTCTGAAGGAGGCGGGCCGGTCGGCAGTGGCGGTAGGTGTGGATGCCATACAGTCATCTAAGCGTCTGAGCGGAAGCTGTCAATCCTACGAACATGTCTTGACGCTAGCAGGCAATAGAGGTAAAATGTAAGAGACGAGGCGAACAGGCGACGAGGATGGCGATGGAGTGGAGCGAAGCACAAAGTCGAAATGGCGATGCGATGTCAGAGGACGCAGGCGAACCCGGAATAGAGGTGTCCCTGGCGATTGGCATATAAGCAACGTGATAAGACGTCGGGATATCGTTCAGCTGTGGCGCGGATGTTTGGCAATGATTCCAATGAATGTCGAGAGCCTGCGAGGGCAATTGAGTTGAAGAAGGGCGCGCATAAAGGACCCATCAGTTGGCCCACGTCACATTGGGGTCGAGGCCAACCCGTCCTTGCGGGACCATGATGTGCAGTTGTTGCTACGCCGTGTGGCCGCAACTGTGGTCGGTGGCCCGGGTCGATGTCTGCAAGCCGGGCCAGTGTCGCAGGCCGAATCTCTTGGGATTCGGGAAGAGGGGGAACTTGGAACGGAATGAAAATTCAGTTGCACTCGGCTACTCGTCTCACATCAGCTGTGATTCACGAGATGTCAATGGCGGCTTGTCCGTCAATTCACCGGTGCCGTTGAGAAAATAGCGTCCTGTTAGTCGTGGTCGATGACGGATGGTTGAATATTGAATATGCAGGAAGAAGGAGAAGAGAAAGGAAGAGACGGAGACTCCGGCCAAGTGTGCTTGACTGGCAGGGCAGACTGAGCCTGTGAAGTGGGTACTAGGTAGGCAATCAATGCGGCAGTGACTACCTTCAGGTACGTAGTGACAACCTGCACCTGCTGTAGGTGCCTACTAAGGTACTATGCGGGAGTATTGAGTGCACGGTTCAACCGATGGCTTGGGTCGCCAACTTCCTTCCTCCTTGAGGTAGAAGAGGCGCCGTTTGGGGTTTGGGAGAGAACAAACCAAAGTTGGAACTTGGAAGTCGCGGAAAACCCATGGGTCCTTGTTGCTATCTCCCCGGTTTCCCCTTATTATGTAAGATCGTTGGGTGTTCTTTCTCAAGCATCCCAAGTCATGTCATGTATCTGCACCTACGTTGAAGGATACTAAAGGTACCTTGGACTGGAGGCCAACGGGGACAAGATCCGGCGGGAGAATCCAGGGACTTCCTCGCTTCGGACCTTCAGCTCCATGCCCCTCCAGGGCTCAGGTATATTGCCTCGCCTTTACGCCCTTGGCAACATGATCACCGTCTTGCAAGGCAAAACGAACACATCGGCATTGTCGGCGACAGTCTGTCGTCCACTGTAAGAAGGGGCTAATTCCTCTCCATCAAAGCTCAGCAAACCTGTGTCATGAACCCGTAGCTCTCTGTTTCAAAGTTGAACAGGCGACTTGATACATGTGACTGGTCATAAACCAAAGCCTGCCATCGCAAACCTTCAACGTCTATCGAGATTGCTACCCCTTGGATCATCCGCTGCAGTGGCTTTGTCTACCAATATGCCTGGCTAGCAAACTGCTCGGCCGTCCCGACTGCAGCTTCGTTGGACTCCTGTAGTCTGTCGCATCTCGAGGAGCAACACCACGGATAGAGACAAAGGAGGTCTAGACACTCGAAAGGCCTACTGTGGCCAAGCTAGCGGGTTTCCTCGCCCTTCTTACCTGACATGGAATCCTTTACCGCTGCCAGACACGCCAAAGTAGCCTATCGAGGCGCTCACGCTACACATGCTTCTTCATCACCGGTTGAGCGTCCCGCTACAGCAATGGCCAAAACTTTAAGAGACTCTGTCATGGAATCGGCAGGCTGGATGCATGCCTGTGCTACCAAGAGAAATGCCAGACCATCGCCAACAGACGAGAGGCACCCATACTGTATTTGGCTCTTCCGGATTGAAGTGCGAGTCGTCCAAGGTCTCGACTCTCTCCTCGAATCGACGGATGAAGTTCCGTCGCCCTCGCCTACCGCGTCTAATCCCAATCCCCCCTGCTCGCCAGGTAAGCTGATGGAGTCTCTCTCCGTCGTCTCCAGAACCAGTCAACTGACGGATTGCCTCCCATGTCACTGGCCTATTACGCTACCGTGTCGAAAGACCCCTCCCGCCGCCCGCGACGGCAGCCTCATGAAGCCCCGTCGGCCATTCCCTCGGGCCTCTGCTGATTCTTGTCGGCGCGGGAGGTCTCGATCCATCTGCGGGGCGGACACATGGTCGTCGATGAGGCGCGACGGCGGCAGCGCCATGCTGAGAAGGGAGGGCTTGACATGGCTCTGCCGCGCTCTGCACTTTTCCTGAAGCGGGCAAAAGCACTGTGTGTCGATAAGAAGACAGGGATGCCTGCTTTGTACCCCGGTCCCCAGCTTTCCCAAGAACGACGGGACCACCAGACCGGTGCTGGACGGGGGCCTGGTCCTTGTCTCACCCCTCGTCGTGCCATTTGGCCTTCCGGCTTTCCCTTGCTTGTTGCGGCACAGCCCTTGGCCGTAGTTGGCAGAGCGCGGGCTTGTCCTTGCTTGGATGACCATGGACGCTATCTTGCTTTGGCTGCCACCCACTCAATCCGATGGATGGCAGAAGTTAGTTTTTCCTGTTGATCATCCCGCAGAGTTCAATTGCCCGGGTCCCCCTCTTCCCCTCCCAATTTTTCTGCTCTTCACGGCTGATCACTCGTTCGACCACAAAATTTCTTAGCCTTGGGATCCGTGAGGCATTGGGATAGGCACGCGGCATACGGATATACGAAAGCGTTTCCTAAACACGGTTCGACGATAGGTCTGGTTCATGGAGACGCCCCTTCGCACTGCCAGCCCTTCCCTCGGGACGCTCATGCACATCGCAAAGACGCCTTGGTGACTCGGCGCACCTCGAATGAACCACCCACCGGGTTCCGTCCCAAGATCGACGACATGCTTCCAACAATCTTTGTCGCAACGGCGCTTGCTGGCATCGTTCGCGCACAAAGTCAATCCGCAGTTGCTCTCACTCCTTCAACCGACTGGTACGCTGAGACATTTCCTAAACTGGGCCCGCAATCTCATCTCTAACTGAACCAAGGTACGGCGTCGACGGCAACTGGTCAACAGTGAAGTTCCAAGTCGGCACACCGGGACAGTCTGTCAATGTTCTTGCGAGCACGTCCTTGTCTGAATTCTGGGCTATTGGAGCCGGTGGCTGTCTTGCAAGTAAGTCTTTCAGCTGTCATTCATCAGCGTATAGATGCCAGCTCGCGCTCTGGCCTAGACATGTCAGAACTAATATCTCATGAAGAGGAGCCCTTGTGCAACACCGCCAGAGGCAACGTGTTCACCATTGCCGACTCGAAATCCTGGAATCCGTTGGGCGCATGGCAGCTTGGTCTTGATTATCTCGGCTATGGGGGAAACGGCGACTATGGACTGGACAAGCTTTCAAGCACGCTTTTGACTGGGGATGGAATGAGCATGGACAACATTGTGACCGCGTCAATCAACAGCACCGACTACTATCTTGGATATCTCGGACTCGGCATCACCAAAGGCAGTTTTGGCAATCAGGTTGCCGAATCACCCTTAACGCAAGCGGTCAAGAATTACGGATGGATCCCCAGTTACAGCTACGGCTATACTGCTGGCGCCTACTATAGTGAGTGCATGCTATCCGCTTCTTTGGTCGTATACTAACTCTTGCAGTGGGCATGTCTGGCACGCCATGCTCTGTCACTCTGGGAGGCTATGACGCGAGCCGTTTTGTCCCACATAACAACGAATTTTCCCTGGATCCGAGCGATGGTCTGCCTCACGCCCTGGTCCGTGGCGTCGAAGTTACTGTGCCACAAAGCAAGGAGATGCCGAGCGGCTGGGATGCTAAGACGAGAATCTTGTCCAACATGTCCACATCTTTCAGTGCCATGATCGACAGCTCAACCCCCTTTCTTTGGCTCCCTGATGCTATTTGCGATGAATTCGCTAGTGCATTCAACCTGACCTATAACAACACCTTCAACCTGTATACTCTCACCGATGAGCAGTATGCCAACTTTAAGGCCGGCGCATCTTCCTACTCGTTCACCTTCTCCTTTTCTAGCCATGACAACAGTGACGACTTTGGCCACCCGCTCACCGTACCGGGCGTGGTCAACATCACAATCACAGCTGCAGCTTTTGCGCAAGTTTTGCGATATCCATTTCAGAGCGAGACGATTAAATATGGCGAACCTTCAGTGCCTTACTTCCCTCTTCGGAGAGCCTCCAACTTGACCAATACGTTCATCATCGGAAGGTCGTTTCTTCAAGAGGCTTACTTGATCACCAAGTACGATACAGGCGTGTTCTCTCTCCACCAGGCCCTGTTCCCGGATGCTCCTCTGCAATCCTTTCAGCTGAAGAGTATTGTGCAGCCTAGCAATAGCCCTTTCCCACCGCCGGCCCAGGTAAATTCTCATACAGGTCTCTCGACAGCGCAAATGGGTGGCATTGCGGCAGGCGTGATCGCCGCTTGCCTGATAATGCTTGCTGGCTTCTTTTTCTACCGTCGCCGCCAGCGAAAGACGCAGGAGATGACTGGGTCGTTGGAAGATGGGAAAGATGCCGCGTCGTCAATTATGCCAGAGTCGCCAAGAAGCCCCATGGCCAAGTTCTTCACAAAAGTGCGGGGCAAAAAGAAGACTCAACGCGTATCGACACACGAGGTTATGGGCAGCACGGCCCAGCCTGTGGAAGTTGCGGCTGATGCTAACCACGCAGTGTACGAGTTGCCTGCACCGATAGGTCCGGTCGAGCTGGACGGAGACGACAGCAAGTCGGTCCATGAGCACACCGAATTCGGGACGGAAGACACGCAAGATGTGAGCGCCTACGAGCTTGCGAGGAGAAAAGTGGAGGCTCAACTTCAAGGCCCTGTCCCGGCGTACTCCCCTCCAGAGAATCCGGCCGACTTTCCGCCTGCCGAGAAGCCGATGCAGTACACGAGCCCTGTCGCGACTTTCAGACCTGAACAGTTTGGGTTATTGCCTGCTTCGTCCCCGGCATCTGCCTCTTCGCCTTCGTCTCCCACAGTGTGCGAAAATTCTTCGTCAACCCATGGCTCCTTGCCATCGCCAATGAGCCCCCGCGCTGGAGAATGGACGAACCGCCTATCTGATCTCCCATCACCCCTGACAGAAGGTCCGTCGTACCCATCACCAACCTTCACTGTCAGCAACCCTGGCAACACACTGCCTCAACCTGTGTCCCCCGAGAGTGAGGCGTTTACAGCAACCCGCGCGACCTTCTCACCTATGCCGCCAAACGTTCCTCTGCCTGCCCTTCCTTCACCGCCTTCATCAACTCATCAAAGAGCACCAATCGACCCATCAAACATCGTCTGCTTGGGTCCTTTGCCAGAGAACGTGTCTCTTCCAGAGCCCGAGGTGATCCCCCCTCCGCTAGCATACTCTCACGGGACCAACCTTGCCGTGCCTGAGGATCTCACTGCTCATCGCCTATCTACCGATACTTTGGGAAGCAACTGGACCGAGTTCGAGGAGGAGCTAATGGCTCAGGACAACTTGACGAGACAAGTGAGCCTACCAGATGAGGAGAGGAGTCAGCAAGCGGAATCAACCTCTCTGCGAAGCCTACAACGCCTCGACGGCTCCGAATTCATCCACATTCCCCAGATGGCAGAGCGTCGCTACAGCTGGGAGAACTAACAACATGAAAAGCCTGCCATTCTTTCCAGAAAAATGACTTGATCTTTACAAATAACCACTTATAATGCACGACTGCAGAGAAAGCGGCCGGCACTATTTCTACTTCTTTCTTTCTTTTTCTGCAGTCCAATTTTCCAGATTCGAATAAATCAAAATAAAGCGAAGGAGTTTGGGATAGGATGTCTCCCTAGAAAGGGGGACACAGGTATATCAGCATGCAGACATGCCGGCGTTTAGGTGCCCACAAAATTGGGCTTGGGAAAGGACTTGGTTGAATGCGCGAAGCGGGAACCTTATCCCAGATGGAGATGGAGAGTACAGAGTCTAGCTACGAGCAGGTTTGAACCAGGAGCTTGGATTCTGTTTGCGATATGCTCAAAAGGGAGCGAGATAGAGAGGTGGCGAGGCCACCAAAGCTGCCATGTTCTGGCATCTAGACAAGCCTCACCATCTCTAGTTTCCACTCTCGGCATCGTAGAGAAACAAATGAACAAATCCAAAATCAAATGAATGATTTTTCTCTCCTCACGTATGATTTTCCCGTGAGTGGATTGGGTTCTGTGAAGGTCAGGAAACATCACCGAGGGCTAAGAGCATCGCTAAGTTTATTCCAACCTCTACTGTGGATAACAAGTGCACGTTTGGAAGACGGATAATTGATGTACATTGTCTGCTATACGCGATAGCAGGCCCAAGTCTGAGTGATAGGTAAGCCGGAGGGCGACTGCTTTGGAAAGGGTGTAATCTCATTGTCTGATCTATTGCATCTTCCCGCGTTGGGCACGTGAACGATGTAGTATACAAAATCCTCAGCCCAGACCTCCCAACGGCTCCATCAAGGAGAGGTCGTCCAAGTAACTCTCCAGCAACGAGAAAACTTTCCGAGGCAGTCTTCTTGCCCGTTACCAAATCTCCTCCCACCAAGTCAGCCTCGTAAAGGCAGCCTCCACGGTCGCGTCGTCCGGGTACCTCGACGAATCGCCGCGCAAACAATCCTTGACGGCCTCCTTGACGGCGCGCGACATCTTGAGGCTGCCGCCGCAGACGACGAAGATGGCGTCCGAGGCGACCATGGCGCGGATGGTTTCGGGGTGGTTGCGGATCACGTCCTGGACGTAGGCTCGCGGGACGGACTTGTCGCGAGAAAAGGCTGGTAGGACGTCGAATTTGGGGTTGGCGGGGGTTGCGGATGCGGCGTCGGCGTGGTTGATTGTAGCAGCAGCAGCAGCAGCAAAATCGGTAGTAGTAGTGGTAGTGGTAGTAAGAGAAGGTAGGGTATACTTCGCCTTGAGGTCTTCCCAGACGTCACTAAAGTGGAAATCTGCTTCTCTGCTGCGGCTACCGAAGAAGACGGCGGTATCGCCGACGCTCACACCTGAGGCGAGGTGGGAGAGGCGTTCTTCGATAAAGAGGCGGAGGGGCGCAACGCCGGTGCCTGTTGCGACGGCGCAAAGGGGCCGGCGGGCGTGGATGGGCCCGTGGAGGGATGCGGAGCTGCGGTGGAGGGTTATGCGGAGAGGGGTTCCGGGCGAGGTCAGGGATTCGAGGTAGCGAGAGCAGAGGCCCTGGCGGATTTTGCGGAGGATGGTCTGGTATTTGACGAGGGCTATCAGCAGGGTGATGCTCGTCTTCGTTCCTGTTGTCATTGTCGTAGTCGTCGTCGTCGACGTCGTCTCTTGAGAGGGCGGGAGGCTGGGTTGGTGGGTAATGCTGGCTATGCTAAAGTCTCGGCCGCGCATGACGGGGAACATGTCGAGGACGCGGCTCAGGGGTATCCGGACGGAGGTGAACTCCTCGAGGACCTCGAGGATGGTGCGGCGGGGCCTGGTGGTGTAGTCGTAGAACTCATCCGTGTACTCGCGCATTGTAAACTCAAGGAGGCGCTCCTTGTGGTATTCGTCGTCGGAGAAATAGTACATCTCTTTGAGGAAGCTTCGGCGCGGGGTGCAGGTGATGTCAAGATTGTGCGTGAGCAAATCACGTAGGGTCGTCGGACGGTCGTCACTGATGTAGAGACCTCGAGGGAGATTGGTGGCCCCAGAAGAAGACCTGAAGGACAGAGGAGAGTCGGCAATGTTGTTCCATTGCATTAGGTCTATGAGCTTTTGGACGTCTTTGGGGAAGTTCTTTGGGTAAATCGTTAGGCTGTCAAACGGGTTTATTGTGGGAGGTCCATTGGCAGAAGGCTCGACGGCGAGGCGTACGAGACGGACGTCTTGGAAGTGTTTCGTAGGTGTCACTCTTTCATTGAGTTCGAGTGAGGCGGCATGGCCGTCAGGGATGGGTAAGAGAGTTGTTGGAGGAGTTTGATTTTGAGATTCAAGCCCGTTCCCCGTTGGCGAAGGTTCGGCAATAGTCATTTCATTGGTCGCATGTGTTATATCCTCGATGGCGCTCATTGTCTTTGAGTTGAGAGAAGTACCATTGGGCTGGTCGTCGTTTCCGATCTCTACCACATGCCCGTTTGTCCTTTCCTCGCCACTGCTGCCAGAGGTTCCATTTTGTAGTGTCTCTGTGCTCGTGGCTAGCTCGACGGTGTACCTCGGAGGTAGAAGAGCGCCCTCTGGGATGGGAGAGACCCCTTCTGGCAGGGGGTACAGCTCGAGTAAGCGCTTTTGCAAGTCTGCTGCCCAAGGCATGTATCTTTCGTCCGCTCTGCTCGATACTCAGTAAAAATCATCAGATCAGGTAACAGTTGGGAGAATGGGTTTTATGGTATTTTCAACACGGAGCAAGATATTTGCCTTCCATCGAATGTTCGATAGCGGGATACATAAGATGGGGGAAGAATAAGAGAATGCTAACAAGGTCTGAAGAAGGCTTGGGAAGACTGATAGACACACCTATCGCAGGTCGGGGCTGACAAGACGGAATAACTCAAGCACCGTCGAATCAAAAGGTAGACCGTATCGAACGCACTAGCATTTCGATGATTGGACTCTAAATATTCGTTCTCTCATGAGCAATGTGCTGAGGAGCGAGTCCACTATAAAGCTTGTTGAAGCTCTAGATGAGAAGGATATGCACGATGGGAGAAGCACACAGAGACAAGATCCCAAGAGATGATGGTGGTCTCGCATCTTGATGTTGTGGACAGCTTTGTCACAGAACGGAACGCACAACCACCCGAAATGAAGATGGGAAATGAGGGCGAAGTAAGAGGAAGTCGACAGAAACTTACCCATCCGAGTCTTGCTCGTCTGCTTCGCCTCGTGGATAATACTCTACGGCACCCAGTTGCTCTAGCCGCTTATGCAACTTTCGAGCAGCCCAGTTAAATCTGTGGGAAATGTCAGCCGTTGAAACTATTGCTGATAATAGCAACCGTAGTCCTCAACGAAGGCGAGAAGGGGAAATAACGCCCGAGGACCAAAAGACATACTTGATGTATAGGCTATCGCCAAGTCCAAATGTCGTGAACTTCACCGCGCCGAGGCAGCCAGGTGGTAGCTTCTTCCTCAAAAGGCTTTTCCAAAAGGCAATCGAATTACGAGGCATATCACCTTGGCCCGTCGTTGATATGACAAAGATGACCATCGAGTATTGAAGCAACACGCTCTACCAGAGAAGTCAGCAATGCGTGAGGTATGGTGCCCAATGACGTGTAATGAAGTGCATTGGTAGACAGATATGCAGTAGCACATTCAGGCTTAAGGAGACCTACCAACTGAGCTCCGTTCATCTCATCAACCTTGGTCTTGAAATGCAGACGCTGGGCATTGCGACCAATTTCTTCGGCAATATCCTGAGCATTGCCGGTCTCCGAGCCGTAAAGGACCAACATGGACCGGCCTGGCAGGTCAGCCACCACGGCCGGCTCGGGACCGGTGATTTTGGTGACCATATTCCTTGAACCGAATTTGAGGCGAGGTACTTGTTGCTTGCGAAAAGCTGATGGCAGGTTCTATCCGGACTTGCTTGTATTGTGAACGTCAACTGCAGCGTGATCCGGGTGGGACCTTTCAAAATCGTGACTCTGACAAGATGCGGCTCTTGGGTCTGCTAGCGCGGGGGTGCAGCTTCTCGGAAATGTTTTTTCTCTGTCTTCCCAGCGGCATCGGAGCTGCAGGAGCCATTCGGACTCTCAAGGCGCGAAAATGCGAAAATGCATGTGCTTTGTTGAGTCACGTGTTATCGCACTGGCTTGAGATTGAGTTATTCAAGTACAAATAGAAAATTGGGAATCTCAGTCAGACGTTAAAGCTGGAAAAAGAGAAATTCTACGTCGTGATAGTCGAGTTTAGAGACAATCCTCGAAACGTCATTGAGTGCTCGGAATTGTCTGGGGCACATGCTCTTGCGAGCGAGCGTAAGGCAGCCTGTCAAGGCCTGTGTATCGGTCAGCCACAAGCATGGATAACAGCCGACCTCCCCAAGATCCAGGTACGTCTTTTGTATGCGCCACAGGTGGGAGAGAATCCCATCGAAGAGTTGCAGGGCACCAGGACCCAGTGCCGGAACTTAGACAGTCACTAATCCCAACAAGATTAGAGCGGCGATTCATGGGCTGAGACCCCCTAACAACTAAAGATGCGGCGGTGTGCTGCCTTGCATGCAAGGTAACGGTTGGGCGGGCTGGGACCACCTCACGCACGGGAGGTCGGCGCTGGTGTCACTCTCCAGGCAGGGCGAGTAACAGCATGCCCCATACCGAAGAAGCTCCTGTGGAGAAGCTTGAGGCGCTTTACTGCGAGACGACAGATGAGGCAAAGTCAGGGAAAACCTTCACGACTCAGGTCTCCGCCTTACCACGCCTCGAGCTGCTGACACGACTGTTTCCGTCCTCACCGAATCCCACGCGAGCTCAGGATTCTTGCTGACGATGGCGTCCACAAAGCGAAATAGCAGGCGCAGGTCTGAAGACGCGGACTCATCTGTTCTGCCCGGGCAGTTGCTCTTTGCGCTATCCGAACATCCTCAATACTATCCTAGGTGGGAGATTGTCTGTCGATCTGTACGCGCGACAGTCATCCCCTTGCTGATTGGTGTTGGTTGAGCATCGGATATTCGCGCTCGTGTTGACATCAATATCGGACATGAGAGCGCGGGATTGATAGGAGTAGCTGAGTCCAGGACAAGGGACAGAGGGAATCTGCTGCCCTCGTCCCTTCTTTGCACTGTTGGCCGCCCCCCTGCATTGCACCGTTAAGACCCATGGAGCTTTAGCGCGGGTTGCTAGGGGACCCTCACCAAAATCTTCATGCGCTCCGCGAGATCCAGTGGGCCGTGGGAAATTGTATCATTCCGGACGCCAAAGCATCTCTCCGCGGTCCCATAGATACGGGAGGACGATGCTGACCAGGGACGGGAGATGGGCCCTGAATTGGCATCCGCCGGAGCCACATTGCTGAACCGGCCGGGCCAGCCGTCGCGTCACTCGCGTGTGTGCAAGCTGCGAATGTCTTGTATTGCCGTAGTTGAGGCTTGGGATTGGCGACGTGTAATTACACTGCCGACTGTGACCCGTCGCTTGCTCTAGGCTCAACGTCCGGTTTGGTTGATAGACTACTGCAAGGTGCAAACCGAGCTAGAAAACAAACTGCATTGATATATGGTTTGGCTAAGATGATCCAGCGTGACCAGGTTCACTGAGGCAAGGTTAGGCAAAACAGAATCCATTCGGTAGACGCACGCATACAGGGTAGTCTCTCGCGATGGACCGTGGATTTAAATATCCGATTCATGTCTCTCGCAGCGTCGCACGAGGCAGTCCAGGAAATAAGATCGAAAAGATTGATCGTGATCGTTGACTGTGGTCATTGATAAAAATAGGGGTTTTGCGCAATACTGGCTCTGAGAGAAATCAACTCACGTCCAGACAGGAGAGGGTACTTCGTACCAGGCCACAAGTGGTATCAATAAGCAGAGGATGAACGAGCAAGATTTGCCGGCATTGGGCTGATTGTGAGCTTTCAGAGATAATGTTGCACAAGAGCGTCCCATCCGGCTGCTCTCACAGTGTAGACATGAGAGGTTATAACCAGACCATTGCGAGCAATCTTCAAAGAACACAGCCAGCAATATGAAGTAGGAGAGTGTATGCTGGGCGAGGTGATTCCTTTCAATTGTTGACAGGCGGATCCCAGGAAAATCGTGTTGTTTGATGCAAGTCTTGCCGATGTTGAGCAGTGAGGTACGAATACCGGCGGCCAATCGGGATCTGTGGATGCGGCAAACGTGGGCAAATCGGGCCAGCAAGCACCTGGGGGCCATCTTGGGGATGCCAAAATATCAGACTTCAAGGTTTGTGGATAAAAAATCGCACGTGAGCAACCACAATGGTCGCGGGTAGCTGCAAACACTTTGGGCCGACACAAAGACAAGTCAGGTCCGCTATCCGTCCTCCGTAGAGACCAGACCGTAGCTGCCGAGATCTTTGTCGCATTTCTGGCGACCGGTGGCTCCACGAACACGCACATCAGCGGGTGGGCACTGGTTCAGGCCTGGCTTGGCTAGGATCCCATCACGACCATTTTGCGGGGGAAGAGTCATACCACCGCCCTGATAGGCCGATGCTGTTGTCACCGCCTGGGCAGATCACACAGGTTTCTTCTCGTGTGAGTTGCATGTTTTTGTTGATGGGTTCCTCAGCATAAGTGTCTTTCAGCCAGTCAGGGCTTATGTTGACGACCGACGTGGTTGATAAGGTCCGATGTATAAATTGGTGTTGCGGTACCGGTACTCCGCCCACGAAAGGTACATCGATGGAAAGGGGGGGGAAGTAAGAAGAAGAAAAAGAAGCAATGGAGAAGCTGCACCTTTCTTCTCCTAGCAGGGGTTGCCCTCTGGCCCATCTCTAAAAGCCCGTGCTCTGTGGCTTGAACAGATGGCCTGTTAGGTACCTGCCATGTCCAACACTATCGTGTGGGTCTTTCCTGGATGGATGGCATTCCACCGCCTTACCTTCCCAGGGTTGGTAAGGGGACCTCCTTCCACTTCAACACTGGCAAGACGACCTTTCATGAAGGTTTAGGTTAAAAAGGCACCTAGGCACCTATGGCACCTTAAAGTAGGTAAATAGTTGACGCGTGAGGAAAGAGATGAGGTGAGCAGCTTGATCCCGCCTCATGGTTCAAGGCACTTTCTGACGTGGAACTGAAGCTGTCCCTGCGTGTTTGCACAAGAGCTGTTCTGTCTTGGGTTCCTGTTGATAAATATATCGTAATCATACAAAAAAAACAATAAGCCCATCGCGTCATCCGGCGAGAATCATATGGAAAGCTGCTGCGCTGCCGTCATTTCCATTCGTGCCTTCCCCCTTCCCCCTTCTCCTTACCCCATACCCCCCTACCCGGCTGCTGCAGACACAATAGGCAAGTACCCACCCACACCCTCGTCTTTCCGCACCGCCACAGCAGCCTAGGAGTCCGCTCTTGCCATCCCAAGGTACCCAGAACGTGGGCCGCACCTGCTGTTCGGTGGGTTTGCGCCTCGCTTACCCTCGTCCTCTGTTTCCCCTGCTCACCAGAAAAAAAATATTTGTATTTGAGGTCGCGGCTTGAGCCATCCCTTTCCTCTCTCCTTTCCCTCCACATCACAAATTCAAGATCCTGTGTCACCGCGCAACGCAACGTCGTCTGTCAACTTTTTTCAAGCTTTCTAGGGCACCAAGCTACCCTGAGAAAATTCCCCCTCATTGTTTCAGAGTTCTAATCCACCGAACTTCCATTCTCCATCAATCTCGAATCTTCGTTCCTGCCACCGGGTCCAAGTTCGCACGTCATCTGTTATCACGCACTTCACCGAAACGCAGCCTCAACCTCCACAAACCTCCGTCTCCATCCACCAGACCAACACCGCCAAAATGTCTGCTGCCGTCGAGAAGGTTTCCGAAGCCGTCAATGACGTTACCAATGCTCTGAGCAATGCCACTATCTCCGACAAGGCCGCCGATAAGCCTGCCGCCAACAACGATGCCGTCCTCGCCAGCGCTGCTGAGGGACGCCGTCTGTACATCGGCAACCTGGCCTACGCGACAACGGAGGGGGAGTTGAAGGAGTTCTTCAAGGGTTACCTTGTGTAAGTTGTCGCGAATCTTCTCATCGTCACTTTTTGTCGTCACCGACCTTATTGTCGTCCTCAACCTGTCGTCATTTCGTCATGGGAGCCTACTGTAGGCGGTAGTGCGAGCTTGTTTCCGAGGAAGCTGTACCTTCCCAAAGCACCTGTTCCCCACATATCCTCTACGGCAATGCTTCTGACATCGCATCGATGCCCACTTGCTTGCATCGTTTGCATTTGACTCACGATGCATCGAGGTTGGGCGTCGCTTTGCGTCCGTTGCTGCCCTGGTGCTGCTGTTGCCTAGACCGCTTCTCTCAACTGTCACGATGTTGCAGCGTGGCCTCTCATCCCTCCCCTGCCCCGCAAAATTCCACCCACTTGCGTCACACATGACAACTCATACTGACCCGCCTTTTTCCATAGTGAGTCCGTCTCCATTCCCAAGAACCCTCGCACCGACCGACCTGTTGGCTACGCCTTCGTCGACCTCTCCACCCCTTCCGAGGCCGAGCGCGCCATCTCTGAGCTTTCCGGCAAGGAGATTCTCGAGCGTAAGGTCTCGGTTCAGCTTGCCCGCAAGCCTGAGCCCGCTGGAGAGAAGACCGAGGGTGCCAACGGTGAGGGTGCTGGTGAGGGTAACCGCCGCCGCGCCTCCGGTCGTGGCCGTGGACGTGGCCGCGGCCGTGGCGGTCGTGGTGCCCGCGGTGGCCGCAACGTAAGTTGAAGTCAAGGAATAGTTCGCGAGAAGCTGCTTACAAATTTACAGGAGGATGGCACTCCCATCGAGGGTGCTGCCGCCGAGGTCCCTGCCGGCGCTCCCGCTACCTCTGAGGTTCTGCCTCTGACCGATGCCACCAACAAGGATGCCGCCAAGACCCAGAAGGCCGGCGAGTCCGCCGAGGCTCGTGCCCCCCGTGAGCGTCGCGAGCGTGGCCCTCCCGCCGATGGCATTGCCTCCAAGACCAAGGTCATGGTCGCCAACCTCCCCTACGACCTGACCGAGGAGAAGGTATGATATCATCATTGGCTCTGTTTATTGCCTAGTACTGACACAGTTCAATAGCTCAAGGAGCTCTTCGCCGCCTACGAGCCTTCTTCCGCCAAGATCGCTCTCCGCCCCATCCCCCGCTTCATGATCAAGAAGCTTCAGGCTCGCGGCGAGCCCCGCAAGGGCCGTGGCTTCGGCTTCGTTACCCTCGCCTCTGAGGAGCTTCAGCAGAAGGCTGTTTCCGAGATGAACGGCAAGGAGATTGAGGGCCGCGAGATCGCCGTCAAGGTCGCTATCGACAGCCCCGACAAGACCGACGAGGAGGCCAACGCCCCCAAGGAGGAGACCAAGGCCAACGGCACCCAGGAGGCTGCCACCGAGGCCGCGGCTGCTCCTGCTGCTGCCGAGACCCCGGCTGCCGCTCCCGCCACCACCGCCTAAATGTGGGCGACCTACCTACAGCCCCGGCAATGCGTCTTGGCCCAACCTCCGGAGCCATTGCCTTTACGAGCTTTACGATGCGGTACCTGTTACGACGATTTCAATTTTTTGGAAGTGCCCACCAAAAAGGTGGCCAAATACATCTACGTCTGCCTTTTTACGAGATTCGCTCTCGGTAGATAGGCCAAATAAGATGTGCAGGGCTGCCACCATCCCTAAACTAATACACATGATCTTACCGGCCACCTCTTCTGTACTTGTTACCTGACCTCGCATTTTCTCCGTCACCCTATGCTGGGTTGTAAATTAGCTTAAGCTGGAGGCGGTCTAAAAGGAAGAGGAAAAGTTTGGCGCAAAACGTTTCAAATCGGGTAGCTTTTTACAGTTAAACAAAAAAATACAAAAGGGCGGTGCAACACCAAAAATCGGTTAGAGAATGCATCATCGTTGAGTGATTTTAAGGTTGCGTACTGTGGTTCGAGTTCGCAGAAATCGTCTGAACGGCTGCTAACAGAGTGCTGCCTTGCACAGTTTGCACATGGACTTCCATGGCCATGCAAATCTAGGAAGGTAAGGTATGTCGTTCCTAGGACCTTGACACTTTTCGTTGAGCATTCGGTGGGAATCAGTGGTTGGTTTCAGTGGTGCATGTATGGCGTTTCGAGGACTATCATTGGGTGGCGGCAGAGCCCCAAAAGCCAAGTGTCCCAGACCGAAGTCTGGACCTCTCCTTGACTGTCGAGTCTCCAGCAGAGCCCCATGGAGTTGAAGGCCCCCTGTCTACCTTACCTTGTCTTTTGCGCCGTGACTACCTGACCGACGTGAGAGATTCGATATGTGCTGCCTCGATTGCTTGAATGGGAATCCATACACTCGAGCATGACGATAACTCCATGGGCCTGGAAGCACAAATTGGCAGGTTGGTGTTACCAGAGACTTGGTAGCTCACGTGTCCGTTCCCTTGGGCCAAGAAACTCAAATACATGGATGAAATTGAGGGCAACGTCAGTCACTAAGAGGTACCCAACCCGACCAGACGCCCAGACTCCCGCACCCTAGTCGACTGCCAGCAAAACCCCTTATCGGCATCGAGAAAGCCCCTCCACAACTCCTCTGCGACAAGACAACCTCCCACGTACCTCATTCAGCTCTCCTTTGCCACGCGTTTCCCCTCATACCCAATCACCAGCCCTAATTCCTTCCCACGATGGCTTCCAAGGCCATGTGGGAGGTTGATCCCGAGACGCGCGCCAAGGTGAGTCTTCTCCCAAGTCGAGTGCCTCGCTTGCGACTTCGCGACTCGCCGCTAACCCAACGTCTCCTCACAGCTAGCCGCGATTCAAAAGGAGGCCAAGAACAACGTCTGCTGCGACTGCAACGCACCATCCCCGCAATGGGCCTCCCCGAAGTTCGGCATCTTCATCTGCCTCTCATGCGCCGGTGTCCATCGCGGTCTCGGTGTGCACATTTCTTTCGTGCGCAGCATTTCAATGGACGCATTTAAGCAGGTCGAGATCGAACGGATGCGCCTGGGTGGCAACGAGAACTGGCGCAACTTCTTCGAACAGCATGAGGACACCAAGATGAGAGGCATCTCGTGGGACGACGCGACGATCGCGGAGCGATACAGTGGCGAGGTCGGTGAGGAGTGGAAGGACAGGCTTTCTGCCAAGGTCGAGGGCAAGGAGTACGTTCCCGGCGAGAAGAAGCCTGCACCAGCACCGGCGGCGAAGCCCGCCAGCCGAACGGGCACACCTCTCAGCAGCACAAACAGCCGCGCTGCCAGTCCCGGCAGGAAGGTCAAGGTGGACGACAAATACTTTTCCAAGCTCGGCGCCGAGAACGCCTCCCGATCCGAAGACTTGCCTCCCAGCCAGGGAGGAAAATACGCAGGATTCGGCAGCAGCCCTATGCCCGAGAAGAAGGAAAGCGGTATCCCGACCGTGGATGATTTACAGAGAGATCCAGTGGCTGCTCTGACCAAGGGGTTCGGCTGGTTCACAACCACCGTCTCCAAGACGGCCAAGACGGTCAACGATGGCTACATTCAGCCCACAGCGAAACAGGTGGGTGACTCTTCTACTTCAATCATATCTCCTCCGGCCCCGGCCCGAACGAAGAACTCCGGACTAATCCGACGTCCTCCTTGAAATTAGCTTGCCGAATCCGACTTTGCAAAGCAAGCGCAGATGGCGGCGGCCAACGCGGGCCGCGTCGCGCAGCAGGGTGCCCGCAATGCCCATGACGGCTTCAACCGCTTCGTCGAGGGCGGTCCCAGCCAAGGGGGCCAGGGCGGGGCGTCGAGACAGGCGCCGTTGGATGAGAGCAAAAAGGACTTTTGGGACAGCTTTAGCAGTCTGGCGGACCAGAGGCAGACGCAGAGCGGTAGTTCGATTGGTACGTCTGCCATGGGCAAGAAGACTGGAGGTGCCGCGGCACCGGCTGCGAAGAAGGACAATGATGGATGGGATGACTGGTGAGTGCGGGCGTTATATACGGTGTCCGGAAAGGAGGGTTTAGGGGTTGTGTGGGTGAGCGGTTGTTGTGCTTTGGCAGGCCTGCAAGTCGAAGAATATCAATTTAGACCGCAATATCACTTGTTTCGACCTTAGAGACGCTATGCACTGGTATGTCTAGTAGGTGTGCAACTGTCAAGCTGGGTGTGTCTCATGCTTTCATGGTGATAGTGCTCTACTGAGTGGATAGAGTTGAGCGAAGCGAACTTCTCAAAGCCGAGATGCCTTCATGTGAGGGCGGGACTTCCAAACGAGCAATTCGGCCAAAAATGAGAAGCTTCGGGATTATGAGCCTGCAAGTCGGCGTCTACGCTCGAATGACCGAAAAGGGCTTACGGTGGGGCGGTGACCCGAGGTTAACCGGTATCGCTAACGACGGAGGTCCCATTTTCCCCAGTGACGACACGGACCTTGACCATTGAAGACCTCGAGCTCCCACCACACCCTCCAATTCCCATCTGCGCAGTACCACAAGCAGCCCCCCTCCCCGCATCAACACCGGGCCATTGAAGAAGCATAACGAGAGAGAGCCCAGTCATGTCCGCCCTCCGAATCCTCGTTCCCGTGAAGCGGGTCATTGACTATGCTGTACGTCTACCAAAGCTCTGCTCACGACCGCACGCAATGGGCACTCCCGCAGAAATTGGCTTGTGATTGTGTGGTCCTCAACTAACACCAATGGTTCCGCAAAACTTAGGTCAAGCCCCGAGTCAACAAGGCCCAGACGGGCGTCGAGACGGCCGGCGTCAAACACTCCATGAACCCCTTTGACGAGCTCTCGGTCGAGGAGTCGGTCCGCATCCGCGAGAAGAAGCGGGCGCCCGGCGGCGTCGAGGACATCACCGTCATCTCGGCGGGACCCCCCAAGGCCGTCGACGTGCTGCGCACCGCCATGGCCATGGGCGCCGACCGCGCGATCCACGTCGAGACCAAGGAGGGCGACGACCTGGAGCCCCTGAGCGTGGCCAAGCTGCTGCGCAAGGCCGCCGAGGAGCACAAGTCCAACCTCGTCATCCTCGGCAAGCAGAGCATCGACGACGACGCGAACCAGACAGGCCAGATGCTCGCTGGGTTGCTGGGGTGGCCGCAGGCTACGTCGGCGAGCGTGGTGGAGTTTGGCGAGGGGGATAGCGTGAGCGTCACGCGCGAGGTTGATGGTGGCGTGGAGACGGTCAAGGCGAAGTTGCCGATGGTGATTACGACGGACTTGCGGCTCAACGAGCCGCGGTACGCGAGCTTGCCGAATATCATGAAGGCGAAGAAGAAGCCGCTTGAGAAGAAGAAGCTGGCCGACTACGGGATTGGTGTTGAGAAGAGGTTGAAGGTTTTGAAGGTTACTGGTGAGTCCTTTTTTGCGCTCTTGACGAAACCACTGTCTTTTCCCCTACATGCCTGCTCAGAAAACGGATCGGTTATGTTTTCTTCTGGAGAAATTGCGAGCTAACCAATCTTCACAGAGCCCCCTCAGCGCCAGGGTGGCGGCAAGGTCGAGGACGTTGACGGTCTCGTTGCGAAGCTCAAGGAGCTCGGCGCCTTGTAAGGGGCGTGTCATGGCTTGTACCAATACGAAGAGACCCTTTTTTGCAATAGAAACGATTCAAATGTAGGCTCCTCGGATGTTCGGACATGATCGCGGACGCAGTATTCGGAATACGAATGCACTTTCGAGCCATCAATTATATCTCGCGGCACATCTTAACCAACGCAATATGTTCGTCATGTTTATTACTGACATCGCAGCTGTTCTACAAAAGCACTAGACTCACGGTACTGGTGGCCCTCCATTGCGTTAGATCGATGTACAAGGTCCTAGCCCGGGTGTGTCACATGAAGATTTCTTGCTGCCACACCATTTTGTGCGGCTCGAATTGGCTGACTTCTGCCATCTTGGAGTCGAGGGAGAACGATAAGCGACATAATCATCAATTGTTCAGACGGGAAAGCAAGCTGATATACCTTGCCCCCCTTAGCATCTTGGTCGAGAGCTCGGCCCAGGGTAGGTGTTACGCGGTGGCCATCCGCTTCGCTGTCGAACCTTGTAAGATGATGGTGGACCATAGGCAAGTCAACGTAACGGTCCGGTTAGCGACGTGAAGCCGAGCACGCAATGTACCGCCCATACGGAATCGGCGAGAGTAAATTCAGATTGCGAGGCATCTCGGAGATAGGTCTCGGAATGCGAAGGCACATGGGACGCGGGATGCGGTTAACCAGCATAAACGTTTGCTGCGCTGAGTTTGCTGATTATTCTAGATTGAAATCCGCGACATGCATCGGCTCGTCTAGTTAGGTCGACCTCCAAACGAATGACGTCGAACGTATGCAGAGTTCACCATCGTAGCCGACCAGTATCTCCTAGTATCAATCACAGAGGGCAAAAAAACAAAAGCTCGGGTGCGAGGTCCGGGAATCGAACCCTGACTACGCTACACCTGCGAAGTCCTCCATCTGCTTGGGAGAGCAGACTTCTCAGGGTTTCTCACC